TATTTTCGTTATAAGCCTCTAGCTACTCTCGATACCTCTTACGAGTCTACTCAAAGGTTGATCGAGGATAATTGTAAAAGGACTACAGATCTCTTTATTAATGGAATGGGATAGGCTGCTTTCACATCGTACGATTTTTTCTCTTTTTTTTAGAACAATCTTTCTTTTATCTTAAGAACAAGTTCGATCCCCATCTGGTAATGGAAGATGAGATCCTAAAACTATTTCAATCCATCACTCTTAGAGAAGTCTGACATCATTGAGATTCTGGATTAAGACATCTCTGAGGGCATAGATGAAGTGGCTCGAAGCATGCCGAGAGACCTTCCAGTGACGTAACCTCTTGGGCAAGTAAATACCCACGGCTCACGTGCCTTTGCTCATAGAACAGAGATTCGGGTGGGCTGACAAATCGTTGTAGTCATATAGGCTAGCTTCTGGCGGCAGGTACACCACTCAATGTGGCCTCCACGGATAATGATAATAGGATCGGGCGGTCAATTCGTAAATCAAGTAGTCAATCAAAGCCCTATATCCTTCTCTCAGCCAGGAGAAGTCAGGATTGGCAATTAGCCCAGCTGCACATAGTCTCGAACAGAGCCTGTTGAGACACATTATACTCTGACGGGCAAGGTACGCGCCACTCTCTTTCTGAGTTATTCCAGCTTCTTTATTCTTTCGTGCCCCCGAAAACAATAGCTTCTGGGGACGAAGGAGGTGACTTAATTAATTTAAATGGAATTAAGATCTTGTCTCCCTTCTGTCTTCTTCTTCCCTTGCATGAGCCCTTTTCCACCCTCTCTATGACCCTTATTATGTCTGGGTTGAAGGCGGATTATTTGATTCGGACAATAGCACCAATAGCATCCCTTCCAGTTCCCTTTACTAGTAAGGGGAGCCATCACCAGGACCGATGATCCAACCACATACCAAGACAAAAAAGGTTGCAACAAGCCGGCCGGCCAATAGTCGAAAGAGAATCAACTAGAAAAAAAGAAATTGGATCTTATCTCAATCGATTGCTGCGCGTGGCTTCCTCCAGTGAGAACGATGCCTCTGAGGAGAGATCTTAAGGCTCGAGGTGAAGGAAGCGCGAGAAAGTATTACCGGCACCTCTGGTTAAGCTAGTCTTCCCCCTTCACTGAAAGTGACCCAGCGTAAGACTCCGAACCTTTAGCTTCTTCTAATGATTAATCCGCGGGATTGTTTTACTTTCAAGTGCTACAATGAACCAGTTGTTGTGCCGGTTGAACTAAGGCAGAGACCTCCTGGTGGTATCGTATAGTTGAGAACGGCTCGGGTCTGCTCAAGAGCTGGCAAAGAACCATGTTTATCCAGCAACCAATCTAGATAAATCATATCCAATTTGAAAAAAGACTTGTTTTTTATTCTATTCAATTGAATATTTTCTATTCAAGCAAGACCAATAATAAGATCTCCATCGAATACTATCTGAACACCTCCCGGAGTCCACCAATTCTCTTGATATCCCTCAACAACCCGAAATGCTCACTCCCGCAACGGATCAAGGCTCTAGGGGATTCAAGATGCTTCGCGTATGAATGAACTAAGTAGAGTCTCTAGTCAAAGTGATAGCAAGAAAATCCTGCCTTCTACTTCTTTAGGATGCAAAAGAAGAGACTTTGACTCTTCTTGCCTGATCCGCTAATTCCCTAGGTCAATTACATCGAACCTCAGTGCGCCTTTGAATATCATTCTTCTTCGCTTGCTTTTTTCATAAGAAAAGCTTTTAGCGCCATTACGTGCAAGCAAGCAAAGCTGGAGCTCGGGCCCGTCGATTACAGATCGTCGTGGCTCAGCTCTCGTTAAGCCAGAAAACCTTCGATAGGTCAATTATATCGAGCCTCTGTCTCTACCCTATTCCCTTTCTTATGTCCTTTTACCCCTTTTGCTGATCTCATCTTTGGCGGAATCGATCCCCTTTTGTACAAGAATATGTGGATTTGAGCATGTTTGGAAAGGAGAACGTTATTTTTCTGATGAACTTCGCTTCACTTCGTTTGTATGGTTGAGTATCTTCAAACCTGTGGATGTTCCCATCGAGGGAAGACCAAAGGTCCCGTCCCAGGCACCAGAAGAACGACTGTTTTCATTTCATATAGCTGAGAAAGATGACTTCATAATTCCCTTTGCTTCTATGACTTCACTGCGCTTCGCTTCGTTCGTTGGATCATTGAAATGAAACTTTTTTCTTCTCATATAGCTGCAAAATCCGCCGACCCATCATGAAAAAGGTACGCCGCTAGAGTGAGTGTGCTTTACTAAGCTAAGCTCCGATCCTTCGACCTCGAGCTCGTCGATGGACCTTCTGGTTGTTAAGGTTGACTGGACTCCCCTTGGCAGGGCTACGCTAAACCTGGAAAATGAATTTGAACCTTTTTTTTTATCTTAGTATCGGCATAAATGAAAGACTAGTCGGCCTAGATCTGAGCTAGCCTTTTGATTTTATTGAAAGAAAAAAGAAATGACCAGACCTGTTTCAGACAAGCCAAGGAAATGGCTTTTTCTGCCCTCTTCGAACTTCTATGACTTCACTTCGCTTCTAAAATTACTACTTTTGACTTCACTGCGCTTCGCTTCGTTCTGTCATGAACTGGCATTTCTCCTTCGGACTCTTGCTTTCACTGGCCTCACATGGGGTTGGAATTGGAAAAGTAATTGAATCGAAGAATCGAATTCACTCTGACATCTGTCGAAGCCAACCAGTGGATTACGGCTAGGCAATCTCGACGCCTAGGAAAGGGCATGGTGTGCATCATTAAACTTTTGAGTAGTCGGTCTGTTCTTCTCCAGGGGACGTACTCAGGGTTCATTATCTTACCTTCCATTCCGAGCCTTTTCTTCCACCTTATCTCCAATCCTCGATCAAACTTGCGTTCCCCAGGACTTTTTTATGACTTCACTGCGCTTCGCTTCGTTTGTTGGGTCTTTCCTTCGCCTATCGTATGTATCGGCTTGGCTTTGTCCCGATCCAAGGAGGCATTCTGGCGGATGCATGCGTGTAGGAAGGCCGACGACCTAATCTTGATAGTAAAGACGAGTGGGATGCAGAAACATCCTTTGCTATGATTGAGTTAGATGAAAAGAGAACAGTGCCCTACAAAAAAATAAATTTCAGTTTAAAAAACTGAATCAGGTAGGTCTCGTTGTTCCATCTCATACTTTATCTATTCGAATTGTTCGAAAAACAAATCCAGGCCCGAAAAAAGCACCCATACCGTCGTCATGTCAATCTATGCATCATCCGAGCGGAAGTCAGGGTTCCATTTTCACTAAGGAGCATCCAAAATGAAATGCTTGGTTTGGAATCAATAAGCTAGCATAGTTTCTTTGCGTGATCAAGTCAAGTCCTTCTCTTACCAGATTTCAATTAGATTAATGTGCGCTCGGATTTTTGAGTCCCTGATCTAATCATCATACCTCTTGAAATATGACCCCTTGTGGTCCAAGCTTCATGTCAGTAAGAAAGAGGCACCCTTTCAGGGAGTTTTTCCAAGAACTTTTTCATCAGATGTTAGGAAATACCGACCCTTCCCCCCATATGTTTGAGTAAAGCCTTTAGCTACTAGCCTGGCCTTTTTCTTCTTGTTGGCGAGTGCCTGTCTCAATTGATGGACGCTACGTCTTCTCCGGGGAGGTATCCAGTAGGGTAAGTGTACTAGTTGCTAAATTACTGCTGTCCGTGGCCCTTTCTTTCTTTGCTCTGCTCTAGTTTTTGCTTCTGAAAGGAACGAGTGAAGGGTGTTTTCCGATGGCCAGCGAGTGACCTTGGTGGAAAAAAGGTTTTCCTTTTTGCGAGTCTTTCAAGGGAGCTAGCCTATCGATCCAATTTGAGTGCCCTTTAAAAAGAGCACCGTAAGTTCTAAATGTAACCAACCTCTCACGACAAGTTATGGTTTTTTAATTATTGTAGTATAAGTCAGAATCGAAGGAGAGTTGAGTCGCATAGCAACGAAGAAGGTTCATAGCGTACCGCGAAGCGGCGAATCAGCGTGGCCAATAGGCGAAGAGTCTGAAATGAGGTGACAAAGTTGGCTCGACGGAAAGGTTTTAAAGAATCTCAGCTGAGGGCTGGTTCGGGTATGTAGCGTTGGGTCGAATAACTAAGTTAAGTACCGATGAAAAGAAGCATTATCCATAAGCAGTAGCAAATAAGCTCCGTTACAGGATAGTACTCTTTAGAAGACCCGTAGCTGGCCTCGAACGGGGCATTGACGTGTCTGACTTCTTCTTTATTAATCTCAGTCGCAAGACTCTCCTTATCAATGTTAGAAAGTCTCTAACCTTCATAAGGCGGAGCTGACTGATTTGCTTATGAGACTGGTTACTGATTCTCGATAATAGCCTTTCTTTCTCTTCACTGTGCTTCGCTTCGTTCGTTGGGTCAATAAGCTTTGGGATCCCTACCTTCGGTTCAATCCAATCACCAGAAAGAGCGCTCAATCATCCCGTCGACTAGCTGGCAGCAGTCACTCTACCTCTGGAAGTGTGAAAAAGAACTACAGCATAACTAGGGGAATAAGCGGTTTGAGCAGATCAGAGCTGATGACAAGAGAGAGACCCATAAATTAGGGTGCGCGGGGCAAGATGTCAGCCAGCTGAGTTGGGGTTTGGGCTTCAAATTGAAACTCGAATATCTCTTCACTAACTAGCAGACTTAGGGATTCAATTACGAGTCAGAAATTACTTCTATGACTGAACTTCGCTTTGCTTCTAAAGTACACTTTTCTTCTATTTAAGGCTTAGCCTGTCAAAGCAAGCTTCAAAAGTCATCTTTGAAGGCGTCATAGTGGCCTTAGGAACCTACTTGGATTGTGTGGGGGTTCGTTCCAGTGCCCAGTGATAGATTGGTTTAGAAAGATCGTATCGAGATTGCTTTTTCTTAATCTAGTAAGAGGGTCAGCTGCTATATAATCAGCCACCCGTGCCCGTTGCTAAAGCCAAAATATACCATACATTCAACAATTCAAGTGTGAAATAAAGAGCAGCTAACAAAGTTCGAGGAAGGCATGCCACACGACGTGGGGAATAAGCATCGGCTAACTCTGTGCCAGCAGCCGCAGTAAGAAAGAGTCACTCAGTGAATCGGCCTATTCCGAAGCGATCTTCCTTTAACTACCACCTGGTCATGAAGAATCATCAGGATTACCCAGTCAATAACCATACCCATAAAGGTAAAGTTCACACGTTCAAGGAACAAGAAGAGGCTCGATGTAATTGACCAGTAACCATCGATAGCCAAGAATCCCATTATTGATCGAATCGGGGCATTATTAGCAAATGAAAGATCTATCGACTTAGAAAAAACCTAGAAAAGAGGAAGAGTCACTAAGACAATTACATCGATCTTACACTTTCAGTTCGAAGGAAGGAACCAGCGAGGCAAGTAAGCAGTCCGATCTATCGGTGAAAGACATTCCACGACTTCGCCAGCCAAGCATTATGTTCCAACAACGGCCCCACACTCGTACTGATACTGATTGTGCTTTCCATGTTTGCTTTGCCATATTATGTATTCCGTATGTAAGGTCTTTGTCTTACTGAATTAGTATAGTTAGTTTCATTGATTGCGGATTGCCTTTCAAAAAAGTACGTTTTTGGGAATGTTCATGGCCTTCGCAGGCTCCGTGACAACAGATACATTTACATAAATGAATATTCTTTGGCTAGCGCCTTTATTCGTCTATTGGCCTTTTCAAAGCCTAACGGTGGAGTCAGTCTCGCCAAAAAGCCTTACGGAGACTATATTACTTACGCTATTAGTTGTTCTTCTAAATCTAACTTTAACTTGCGAGCCAGTAGCTTTCTTTTTTGCTAGGAGGTCCCGGGGGAACCACTAAGATCTGCGATCAGCCCTCTCGTAGACCACTGATGAGAAAAGATCAGCCTGATCTCTTCAATATCTCAGCATGCTATCCGCACCTTTTCCCCTTTCTCTAAGTTGTTGGGCGTTAAGCTGAAAAGTAAAACGCTCCCGAAAGGCAGTAGCTCCGAGTGTAAAGTCCCAACCCCAAGCAAGAAGATGGCGACATCTTTGACAAGTTCATTCCCAATAGAAATTTTTGATTCCCTTTTTTTCCTGCGTCAAAGGTAAGCGCCCAAGCAAGCTGCCAATCCAGTAAGTAATTGGAGCCTAGTCATGTAGGTAGAGCCCATTGATCGAACTCAGAAGTCTAAAAAAGTCCAGGACTAGTACGCACGAGAAAGGCTAAGATAGATAGTCTAGGGGTTAGGACTACTACCTGTCTAAATACCTTCCTAAATAGTAGGGACTCCAATGTTCCAAAGAGGTTCAGCCGAGGCTGGTCAAAAGGCCTAGGAAATTCGAGCCGTGGTATCAGATATGGACGGATGCCTGATAGTAGGAAATCTCAAATTGGTCTTCCTGAACCAGCAAGTGTAGGCTCGAAAGCCCCGTCATAGAAACTTCGCATAGGCAACACACAGTTCGGTACACTACACACCAAGCCAATCGAAAAAGAAAAAAGGTCCACTTAAACTAAAGGCAATCGGTAAGTCATTGGAAAGAGCATTTCGTCGGGTATTAAGAATGAACTAACTGTCCTCTCGAACGAACCTAGCGGTCGCGTATTAAGAAAGAATAGACCAATTTCACCGAGGTTAAACTATAACAAGCTAAAAGAGAGCGAAGCCGAGGCAAGAGCAAGGGGCGTAGCGAGAGAAGAATTTAATTTATGTTCCATTCTCAATGGTTGGTCGGTTTGTGGAGGAAGCTGTTAGTCTAACGGAGGAATCAATAGATCTAGTTGTCCATTCCCTTCCTTTTTTTCCTCTATGACTCGTCCAGATCGTGCTCGCGCCCAGTGACTGTCATGCCTAGCATCTCTTGCCCGTGCTCAAGTGCGCCCTGCTCCGTTCTTGTTGTGCCAGGTCGAGCCCCCAGATCGCCCTGTCCCGAACTTGTTTTAAGGCCCCTGATCATGGTACTCTCTGTACGCCCCACATTCTCAAAGTCCGTCACTGTTCCACTCTCGAGCAGAACCAAGCAAGTCCTGACACTGATGCAGCAGGCAATGCGTCTCGTCCTCTTGTCCATCTCTGTCAAGCAGAAGCTAAGCAATCGCTTCTACCCATCTCATAGTTCTTTGATCGGGCTAACCATCCAACTCAATGCAATCTATTCCCTCTGGCTCCCCTCTTGTTCCCAAATGTCATCCACGGGCAGAAGCATCCGAACCTGGTATTTCATCTTCGTACTGAGAAGCATGTCCCTTAAATGAAAGAAGGGCTCGAAAAAGATAGAGGTATGGTCACGGAGCGGATGGAATGGTACCGGCTTTGCTTTCTCACGAATTGGATTTTAACTAATATCTCTAGGAGACTTTCCTTTTAGTCGATCGTTAGTAGGTCTGTCGTCCGTATCATTATAGTCCTCCTAAAATCAAGAGCATTTCGCCGGAATAGATCCTGTATTTTCACCGCTCCGTGTGAAATGAGGTCAACTGCTTGAACGAGTTTAAGAGCAGAAGGAGGGGAAGTCTATCAGTGATTGCCTGAACCAAGTCCTCAATTTCAAAGGTGAGGAGTGCAGAAGCTTTCCCGAGTTGACGGGGCGGCATAGTTTCGGCTCCTCTTTGACTTGTGAGAGAAATCCTACTTACTTAACGTAAGAAGATGTTGGACTCTGTTGGTTGACTCTTGTCCTTTTTTCCTATTGAATGTCTTCCCAACGAATGAAGCGAAGCGAAGTGAAGTCAAAAACCCCACAGAGCGGTCAATTGCATCTTTAGAAGCGAAGTTCAGTCATAAAGCTGGTTGAAAGACCTCCTCATTCATGTTCTCACCACCTCTGGACCTAAAATCATTGTTTGAATTTATATCGAGTCTGACACCTGCCCGGTGCTGGAAGGTCAGAAGGAGAAGTGTTAGTTGCTTTGAATAGAAACCCCGGCAAATGGCGGCAGTAACTCTAACTGTCCTAAGGTAACGAAATTCCTTGTCGCATTAGTAGCGACCTGCACGAATGGTATAACGACTGCCCCGCTGTCTCCGACATGGACCCGGTGAAATTGAATTCTCCGTGAAGATGCGGAGTACCAACGGCTAGACGGTAAGACCCCGTGCACCTTAACTATAGCTTCGCAGAGACAACCTTGATCGAATGTGTAGGATAGGTGGGAGGTGGTGACACACAACGACCAATCCTAAAAGACCACTGTTTCGTCTAAGGATGCCTAATCGTCGCACCGTTCATTCAGGGAGAGGCGGGACACTGCGAGGTGGGTAGTTTATCTGGGGCGGATGCCTCCTAAAGAGTAATGGAGGTGTGCGAAGGTAGGCTCAAGCTGACGATTCTGTTCGTGAGCGTAATGGTATAAGCCTGCCTGACTGTGAGACCGACTGGTCGAACAGAAACGAAAGTCGGCCATAGTGATCCGGGAGTCCCGTATGGAAGGGCTCTCGCTCAACGGATCAAAGGTACGTTGGGGATAACAGGCTGATGACTCCCAAGAGCTCTTATCGACGGAGTCGTTTGGCACCTCGATGTCGACTCATCACATCCTGGGGTAAAAAGGGTTCGGTTGTTCGCCGATTTAAGTGGTACGTGAGTTGGGTTTAGAACGTCGAGAGAAAGTTCGGTTTCTATCTACCGTTGGTGTTAAAGAAAGAACTGCGAGAAGCCAACCCTATTACGAGAGGACTGGGTTGGGCCAACCTATGGTCTACCGGTTGTTATGCCAATAGCAGCGCCAGGCAGCTAAGTTGGTATGGAAGAACTGCTGCGCAGCGGGAAATCCTTCTCTATACAAGTTCTCAGATGAGGTTTTTGAACATAACTTCGATAGACCACGGAGCGATAAGCTTCTTTTTATAACTTCACTTCGCTTCAAAAAGTTTGTACCTTGTAAGTCGAGCATCTTCAAACCTTTCCTATAATATCAAAGGGTCCTTAGACCGCCTCTGGTTCTATCCCCAGTGGGAATAGTGAAATTCTATGACTGCGCGTGAGGGCGACCATGCCATATCATATCCCAAACCTAGGATAGGAAGTATAGTCAATATAGTAAAGGTAGATGTAGTAGAGGTTAGAAAGCGGACAGTAGAAAACCTGCTTTTTGAAGATAGACTGCGATAACCTATTCCTTTCGCCTTTGACTCTCCTGAAGGAGGAATTTTCTGTCTAAAAGTAAGTAGCTAAGCGATAACCTGCTCATATTTTGGGTTATAATTAAGGACTCAGTCTCTTCCCCAATCAAAAATAAGCCAGCCAGTGGGCCTTGATGTCAGAGAGTTAAGGGCTTATACGTATATATAAAAAAAAAAGAGAATAATAAATGAAGGAAGTCTTTTGTGGGCCCCCTTTTTCAGCGCATTCATCCGTGTCTTGCTGCTAACCTATTTTATGCTACCACATGTCTCCTTCCGCAAGCATCCTTATCTCTACATCTGGAGTAATATGATTCTCTTATCAAACTTATGAAGAAAAATAGTGCTTTGTCTCAATTACATTGCCCCAACGAATGAAGAATGAATCTATATCTGATCTGTGCACAGAAGTTGCTAGCCGGCGGCCGCTCAACTCTTCGATCGCAATGCAGTGGTGTTGGTTCTGATTCTACAAAGATAGAATGCCTGGTCGAAGGTCCAATACAAGTAGATAGCAGGTGTTTTCGTTTTGGCTCCCTTCGCTCCACTAGCCTTGATTGGCAGATAGAAGTACCAATGTGCCCCTAGTGGTATCGTATATAAGATCACGGCTGAATTTAGCAGTGATCTTTCCTTCTTCAACAAATCGGTGGTGATCTCACTTTCAAAAGAAAGTCTCAATGTGGCGGTGTACACGTAGCTCCATAGCGGAGCTAGTCACTGGCGTCAGGGTGGCGTTTGAAAAAGGAACAATTTACACAAAGCATGTATTGAAAATCAAAGTTATTCTATCCTAAGCATGCATTTCAGTAGGGCTCCAAAATATGGGTTATAGAGTGGGAGCATCAACCCTCTATGACTTCACTTCGCTTCGAAAAGTTTGTTAGTTTCGGCTTGTAACTTCCTTTTCTCATAGAGAAGAAAGGCGGTCTAGCAACCGCCCAGACTGGGCTGTGAATCCCGGAAAGTGAACTCCGAAAGAAGGTACCTCGTCATCGTACCCTCAAGGCAAGCTCCTGAAGTAGAAGTGTGAGGGTCGTGAGCCTAGTTCTTCAAAAAGAGAAGGGAGCAAGCTCTCCCTTTACCGGTATTATGCCATCCTCACTTTCTACGTTTAGCGTACCAGCTTTCGTGTGAGGCGAAAAGGCTGATGCATCGGATTTTTCTACTTCTCCCTCGTGAGAATGGGGAGGTGAAGCTTGAAAGCGGAAACCTTGCTTCCCGACAGCAAAGCACGTATCCCAATCAATCCAACCGATAGCAATTACAGTTGAATCTGTTGATCTAGAACCAGCACTCTCAATAGCAATATAAGTAAATGTGGTAACAGGAGCAGCGTGAAAGGTGGCGTTCTTCAAGGTGGTCATAAGGGCGTTAAGCATGAGGAAAAAGTACTGAATTTCGCTTCGCCAAATACTTCTGACTTCACTTCGCTTCGCTTCGTTTGTTGAGTGTCACTTTGCTCTCCTCTGACATAAACAGAAATAGCCCCGATTCACTTCTGAGGTTAGACTGAAGGACTAGTCGATCCGTCAAGCGGGAACAAGACAGCTTCACCTCAGCCAGTTAGAGTTTTTAATGGCGGGCTACGGTTTACCCTCTCCCGGAGTTGCTCATGGTCCCTATCAAGAGTGCACTTGATCCCATACGTCACCAAGCCGTAACATTTAGTGAGACTCAAAGAACGTAGCGAAGCGAAGTGAAGTCATAATCTATATCGCTTCTCTCTTTCTCGCATTGACCGGACAAAGGTTTCGAATGAGCATCCCTTGGGACCTTTCTCTTTCCGTCGGACCCAATGAAAGTGGTGAGCCATTCGTATGCACTAACAGCAAGTGGATTCCCGTCTGTTGCAAAGAGATTCCCATCTATTAATGAGCTTTCTCAATTGGAAGTAGTTTCTAGTAAGAAAACAATTCCTCCTCCGAGACTGAACTTCGCACTACTTCTGACTTCACTGCGCTACTAAAAGAACTAAATTCAGTACAGAACTCTGTGGTTCCTTCCAAGGAATCCGAAGCATCTAAACCACCCCATTCAATGGAGTTTCATTCTTGCGATTCCCAGCCATCTTGGCGGTATCGGTGTCCAGTCCGAGCCACTTCAAAGTGAGTCTTGACCAAACAAACGAAGCGAAGCGAAGTGAAGTCAGAAGTATTGGCGAAGCGTAGTTCAGTCAAAATAGAAGATGGTGGAGCCTCGTTCAATGCTACTGTCGAAATCAAAGGCTAGGCTATGAAGCGTCATATCACGAGACAAAAGAAAACTTGGGTCGATGTAATTGAGGCCAGGGACTCGAATATTGTGATGTTGTCTAAACTTGGATGGCAGCTTCATGAACTTCTATGACTTCACTTCTAAAGATGCAATTGACCTATGGTGCAAGGTAATGCGAGTTCTTCCACTACCGAGTCCAGTTCAGGTAGTGGGCAGGGTCCGCAGGGCATTTATGCTTGCTAAAATTCGTTACCCCTACCACGCCCTCTTTTTCCTGTCTTTCCAGGCAAGGAAGCAAGTTCAAGCTAAGGCTAGATGCCCATATTGCATCTTACTCCCCATATTTTACTACAAAATTTATTTATTGTTCTTCCATATATTGTGCAAAATATATCTACTACATGAGATTGCAGGTTCGTATACAATTTCAGTTTGGCGTGCCTGCGTTTGAATCCTGCATGCTTTTCTCCAAATAAAAAATTCCAAATACATTTCCTAAAGAATTCATGCCATGAGTTATTGGAATGAAAGATTTTGCTATATGAATAATCAATCATGCACTCATGAGTGAGCAACGAAATTTACTAAGCTTAAACCCTACAAATAAACAATTGGTTGAAATGTTGCAGGATGAGATGAGGAGCCCCCTTGAGCTTGATTTCTCGGAGTCAGAACTTTTCCAGAACAATCCAGAAGTTGGTTCGATCAATGATGAAGATGAGTCTTTCTACGATCCAGCAAACCTTTCCATCATCACTATCGACGACGTGAAAAACAATAATTACGAAAACTGCCTCCAGCCTCCCATGTTCGACATAGACTTGACGTCTTCTTTTTCACTTCCCCAATACATTAACAACAACAACAATAACAGTGAAGAGGTATTGTTCAATGACAATATCGTTGGTGGAGGAGTGAGCCACCCCGAATTTTACAAAGAGGATAGCGTTGGTTTTTTGTCTTATGATGTGCGGCTGACGATGAGTGGTTATCCGCCTTTGCTTCACCACACCAACTTCAATAATCATCATCCCTTGGAGTTTGAGGCAGACAATAATAATATAATTAATTTTCAGCAAACCTTTAATTTCTCCATGCCTCATCTTCAGGTATATGCATGCCTATTTTCTGGAATGATCAAAACTATCTTGGAACTAATCATGTGTATAAGGAAAAAACTCAATCTAGATCAAAATTGTTGTAAGGATGGGGTAGTTGGTGTGTTGGTGAATAATTAATTGGACAAAAAATTGATGATTAGAGTTAAGTGAGTTAGACGGATACTAAAATACCAATATAATCGACTAATTAAATTTAATTATAGGTCGATATATGTAGCCATGTGTAAGTATGTCAAATTAATGGATTCTTTTTGAAGAATTTATCCAACTCGAGTAAATATATAGTTGGACTAAATTTATTTATGAAATATTATATTGTTGTTTTACCGAAATCAAGGCACTTAGTGGTGAGAGCCAACATCTGCTTCATGGTAGTCCAAGTACAACGTTGGCATCGGATATCTCAAGTTTGGAAGATCCCAACTTTAAGGTAGCCAAACTCTCTCCAGAAGAAAGGAAGAGGAAAATCCTTAGATACCTCAAGAAAAGAAATGAAAGGAATTTTAGCAAGAAAATTAAGGTCTACTTCTCTCTCTCTCTCTCTCTCTCTCTCTCTCTCTCTATATATATATATATATATATATATATA